CAATTGCAATTAACACCTATACCTTAACCCTATAATCCTGTGTTTTTTCCCCTACCTTTGAAAGTTTGTAAGCCAACTGCTTCATGCCTTTATCTCCCCCAATTTTAGTTATCCAATTTACCACTCCTGCACCTTTGCAAAATTCAAAGAGCATTGAGCCCTTTGGACTGCCAAAACTGCTGTCTTATAGTGGTATGAATTGAGGCAAACAATTTTCCAGGGAAACACCACTTTAAAAACTGTCTAGACAACAGAAAACTGGTTGAAGAGAGCCATCAGTCAGTGTAAGACATGAAAAAATAATAATAATTTATAAATTTTCCAGGGTTCATGAGGCAGGTGGGGGAGGGAGTGAGAAAAAACAAGGAGCTGATACCAAGGGCTCAAGTAGAAAGAAAATGTTTTGAAAATGATGATGGCAACTAATGTACAAATGTGCTTGACACAATGGATGGATGTATGGATTGTGATAAATGTACAAATGTGCTTGACACAATGGATGGATATATGGATTGTGATAAGAGTTGTATGAGCGCCCAATAAAATGATAAAAAACAAAACTGTCTAGACTTCAATGGAGAGTGGTCTGTGAGATAATAACTTCACATTTTGAGGGTTATTTTTTTTACTTATTGATTTTTATTTTGCTTCTGAAATCTTGCTAAAGTTTTTTCTTCATCATAATTGCGGATTCTTTTTTTTTTAATTTTTTTTACAATTGTCATGCCTGAGCCCATTGTTTTTTGGGGTTTTTTAAATCATTTTATTAGGGGCTCATACAACTTTTATCACAATCCATACATACATCAGTTGTGTAAAGCACATTTGTACATTCATTGCCCTCATCATTCTCAAAACATTTGCTCTCCACTTAAGCCTCTGGCATCAGGCCCTCATTTTTCCCCCTCCCCGCTCCCCCTTCCCTAATGAACCCTTGATAATTTATAAATTATTATTTTGTCATATACATTTTGATTTTTTTTTGAGTCAGTGAGTGAGTGAGACAGTGAGTGAGAGAGTAAGTGAGTGAGTCAGTGAGTGAGTGAGACAGTGAGTGAGTGAGACAGTGAGTGAGAGAGTAAGTGAGTGAGTCAGTGAGTGAGTGAGACAGTGAGTGAGAGAGTGAGTGAGTGAGACAGAGAGTGAGACAGTGAGTGAGTGAGACATGGGGTGAGTGAGACAGTGAGTGAGTGAGTCAGTGAGTGAATGAGACTGAATGAGTGAGACATGGGGTGAGTGAGACAGTGAGTGAGTGAGTCAGTGAGTAAGACAGTGAGAGTGAGTGAGTGAGACTGAGTGAGTGAGAGTGAGTGTTACAGTGAGAGACAGTGAGTGAGTGACTGAGAGTGAATGAGAGTAAGAGAGTGAGTGACACATTTTGATATTTTTATAAAGTTCTTTATGATATTGTAGCAGTACTTTTTGTCTTACCTTTATAAGAAGACACTTGAATTAACAGAAACAAAGACTACTAAATTCTACATAGAAAAAGAACTAGGAAGCAACAAAGCCCACATGGAAGAAGCACACCAGCCTATG